TTAAAGGCTATATATATTGTAATAAGTGCTATGCAAAACACTCTGTCTCTAAAAATATCTTAGGGGTAATTTTACCTTTTTACTTGAAGGAAGTACTTTATAGAGTCTCTTTGACATATCTGGATTGCAGAATCCCTACTCTTCTTAATAGCAGAACTGCAATATATGACAGCAGTTCTGATGGCTGAAATGCTTCTGAAGGATTAATGGGCAGTCATGTGTACAGCAGGAGATGTTAGACAAAAAGATGATTCAAGACCAGGACAAAGCAGTGGAGTATAAGATTTCATCCTGCTTGTCGAAATGGTACACAATTTTAAACTTCTGAATTTTTATTTCTAGAATTTTCTATTATTAAAATTAGTTATTTTTCCACTTTCAGACCTCGGTTTACCACAGAAAACTGAAACCTCACAAAGTGAGACTGTGGATCAGGGGACTACTGTGTCTGTCACATTTCCAATATTCAACGAATTGTCAATGAACAGCCTACACAAGGCATTGTAGAAGATAGTCTCAACCTTTTGGTAGAGGGAAGATTATAAATCATGTGCAAAATTGTTATAAAAAAAGAAGAGACAAAATATGTAGCAGGTATATTAGTCTCAGAGTATGATGACAAGGCATTTACAGGGGAAAGATCATATAATATCTTTTCTTTGTTAAGAGAGGCATTTTAAAATACTTTTTTTTTCTTTTCTTCCTTATTTATTTATCTACAGAGTCACACTATGTAGTTCTGGCTAGCCTGTGACTCACTATGATGTCCAGGCTGGCCTTGAACTCAGGGCAGTCCTCCTGTCTCAGCCTCCACAGAGTGCTGGATTTAATAGGCATGAATCATCACACTCAGCTTTAGAAACACTGTATTTAACAACTGATATACTTTATAATGTATGTTTGTATTTAATGAGTTCTTTCAATAGTGAATCTTTTACAATTAGTGACATATTAGAATTAAGAAAAGATGATAACTGATAAGACCAAAAGTATCATGAATTAACTTGTATTTCAGATGGGTTTCAAAGGTAAGATTTTGACAGGCACAGAGGATGGTCAGTAAGAGAAGTATGTATTATAGACAGAAATTGTGAAAGCATAGGCATAGAAATAAACATGGAGATTTTCAGGCAATGGTTAATAGTATAATTTAGCTACAGCATAAGATACATGCTGGAAGTAATAAAAATATAGAACTGGAAAAGTTGAAATATTTGGAGACAAGCTAAACTTCTGGAAGAATCTGCTTACTTACATTACTTCCCAATTGGGCAGTATTTCATTGATCCAAATTACCATTGCACTTGCAATGTTTTCTTCCTGTTTAAATCGTTCTTTCATTATTCTTTTTCTTTTATGTGCTTCTTTAATTTCTGTTTTAAACAAGTAAGAATTATTTCAATATAAATTAACTAGATCAAGACCCCTTGCTTTTGCCTTCCTTTTGTACCTAACTCTATAAAACAGACTTCTTCAAAAAGAATCTTCTGATAATAGAGAAAAAAAGGTAAATCAAGACCTTGATTAACAAAATTTTAATATCTCCTATACCACAAAAGTAATGGAATAAGGTACACTAAAATGATTTCAATAAATTATCTCACTTCTCTCTGTGTCTCTTTAAATCCAAATAGGATTCAGCAAGGCTGCCTATACGGCCTACCTTTTCCAGCTCTTTCTTTTTCTTTATATTCCTTAGTTAATTTTAGTTTTTGAGACAATGTCTTATGTAGTCCAAACTAGCCTCAACTTGCTGTGTAGCTGAGGATGACCCTGAACTCCTGAACCACCTGACTCTACCTCCAAAGTGGTAGGATTATAGGTGTGTACCACCATGCTTGATTTATGCAGTCCTGGGCTAGTCCTGGGCTTTTTCTATGCTTGTCAGGCACTCTACCAACTGAGTTACAGCTCCAGGATTTACCTACCCCCTTTTTTGAGATAGGGTCTCACCACTGGAACTCCCTACTTAGACCGGGCTGGCATCAAACTCACAGGTCTGTCTGTCTCTGCTTCCAGGGTGCTGGGTGAAAAGTGTGTGTTCCAATATACCTGGCCTCTTTTTGGCTTATTGAGACAGGGTCTCACTGTGTAGCCCTGGCTGGCCTGAAATTCATTATGTAGATCTGGTTAGCCTCAAGATTACTTCAATCCTCCTGCCTCTGTTTACTTATATCTGAATTAAAATATGTTAATGAATTAACTACACACACACACACACAACTTGCAAGCAACTAACCAAGAGCCATTTTTCTTTTTAAAAAAAATATTTTTATTTATTTATTATTTTTATTTTATGTGTATGGGTGTATTGCCTGTATGTAGGTAAGTGCACCCATGTTGTGCAATGCCCATGGAGGACAGAAGTAGAGGCTCTCAGATCCCCTAGAACTGGAGTAACAGACAGTTGTTAGCTGCCATGTGGGTGCTGGGATTCAAACCCGGGTCTTCTGCAAGAATAACCAGTGTTCTTAACCACTGAGCCATCATCTCTCCAGCCCCCAAGAGCCATTTTTCATACACAAGATTTATGACTCTCCTAACATAAACAATATAACATTAAAAATTGATTTTTCCAATGGCACTATTAGTAAATAAGTCCTTTTTACATAAAATTTTACAACCAGTAAAGACTTGTAGGAGATCAGCTAGCCAAACTATCTTCAAATTGTGTTTAATTTGTGCCTAGGAACTATCTGAGGGGCAAGGAGGAAGCCAAGTACCAGCTCCACAGTCATGCTGTATATATTCAGATTCTATGTAAAGTGTGTTAGGAAAAGGTTCCACTATTTTAAGAAAAGCATATTATTAGGGCTGGAGAGATGGCTCAACAGTTAAGAACACTGGTTGTTCTTACAGAAGACCCAGGTTCAAGTTCCAGCACCTATGTGGCAGCTGACAGCCATCCATAACTCCAGTTCCAGGGGATCCCACACCCTCTTCCATCCTCCACAAGGACTGCATGACACAGACGCACTTACACACATGCAGGTGTAACACTCCTACACACAAAATAAAAATAAATTAAAAAAAAAAGTACATTAAAAGTGAGTCTGAAAAACTAACCTAATCAACCTACTTCCAACTTTATAAACAAAGATATACAACAGGTCTATTCAGGGTATCACAACCAGAGGTAGTATAAAATTGGATTAAAACCATGCCTTCTGATTTCTCAATTTAATATTACTTCTATTATACCAAGTTTTAGAATCATCCACTTACCAATAACTTTTTTTTACTTTTTTATCAATAAATATTAATCAAATAGTAAAGTTAAGAGTCAATGAAAACTTACTGGGTTTGTTAGAAATATTTTATAGTCTATATATGAAAAATAACCCAACCAATGTTCAAATAATTAGGCATTTTAGAATATAACGGGGCTTACATAGCTTAAATTTATTCTAAGATTAAAGAAACAACTTTGCTTCCCAAACAGTAATGCAAAGCAGAACTGTGTATTATTACATATTTATTTACTTACATTAAAGAAAAAGATGTCAGTAAGTTATGTCTTAAATATATATATTTTAAAGTATGCATTTTAATGCATATTTATCCTGAACTAATGATGGTCAGCACATACTGGGTTTTTTTGGTCTTTTTGAGACAGGGTCTCCCTGTAGCCCCAGCTGGCCTGGAACTCGCTCTGTAGACCAGGCTGGCCTCGACTCACAGAGATCTCGCCGCCTCTGCCTCCCAAGTGCTAGGTTTAAAGGCATGTACTACCACACCTGGCAATCAGCACATACTGTTAAAGAACCCTTATATATACTGGGGATTGAGAGGAGCTGGAGAAAATAAATGAATAAATATGTGAACTTTGTGCTCATGAGAATATATATTTTTATGCACATAACCATGTGATAGAATTGAGATTTTAGAGACTTTATTAATCGCAAAAGCAAATATTAGCTTCAAACATATTCTCATAGTAGTATGAGAAGTTATCTTGTTATTGCATAAAAACTATTAAAATATAAAATGTCTAAAGTCTAAACATGATAAAAATGAAACACAGGGAAAAGTTCATAAATATCTTTAATTATAAATTAAGGTGGTAACAGTCCAGGTTCTGTAACTAACTTGGAGCCCCTCACAGCAGTCTGCTGTCTTTCTCTTCACACTAGTTCTGCCAAAGTTCTTACAAAAAGAATCTATCATCCTGGTATGACACTTTTATTTCCTCCTGAAAAAAAAAAAAATCCAGACATGGTAACTCACACCTGTAATCCCAGAATATGGGAGGCTGAGGCCTGGGCTACAAACTTAATTCAAGCCAATGTGGGCTGCAGAGTTAAGACCCTACATAAAAAAAATATTAAAGATGAGCTGGGCGTGGTGGCGCACACCTTCAGTCCCAGCACTTGGGAGGCAGAGGCAGGTGGCTCTCTGTGAGATCAAGGCCAGCCTGGTCTACAAAGTGAGTTCCAGGCCAGCTGGGGCTATAAGGGGACCCTGTCTCAAAAAGAACCAAAGACCCCCCCCCCAAAAAAAAAGCCAAACCAAACCTAATTTTAAAAAATATATAATTTCAGGCTGGAGAGTTGGCTCAGCCGTTGAGAACACTGACTGTTCTTGCAGAAGACCTAGGTTCGGATCCCAGCACCCACATGGCAGCTAACAATTGTCCATAACTCCAGTTCCAGGGGATCCGACAGCCTCTTCTGTCCTCCGAGGGCACTGCACAACACGGGTGCACATGCAGGCATAACACTCATACACATAAAATAAATTTTTTTTTAAAAACCCAAATATATAATTTCATTTTTATATTATAAAATTATAAAAATAATTATAAAATACTAGAGAAAATTAAGAATTCAGTATCACCTTGAAGACAGATTTGATGATTTAACTATCTTCCTAATAATATTAAACTGTTAAAGACCAGAAAATGGGTTGGGTATGGCGGCACATGCCTTTAATCCCAACACTCAGGAGGTAAAGGCAGGTGGATCTCTGTGGGATGGAGGCCAAGCTGGTCTATATAGCAAGTTCCAGGCTAGCTGGGACTACAGGGAGACTGCCTTTCTCTCTCTCTCTCTCTCTCTCTCTCTCTCTCTCTCTCTCTCTCCATATATATATATATAAACCAACAAATTATACCATTTGAAGTTAAATTTTATACCTCGTTTTTTAGCCTCAGCCACCATCTCATCATATTCTTGTCGGTGACGTAAAGCTTCTTCCACAGATTTAGCAGGAAGATTTCTGGGGGAAAAAAAAATGTAAGGCCAATTTAAAAATATTAACTCTTAAATTTATTACTTTCTCAGAACTAGATGCAAAGAATTTCTAACCTAACCTTATTTCATATAAACTAGAAATGAAAAGCTAAAAATAAGTTACATTTTAAAACAAAATCAGAATTCAGATTCCTAATAATTATTCTATGTGTATAGTTGCTTGACTGAGAATCTCCCCCAGAGGTTCCAAGTATTTGAACACTTTATCTCTAGTTGGTGGCACTGTGGAAGTTTAGCAGGTGTGACCTTCCTGGAGGAAGCTCGTCACGGGGTCAGGCTTTGAGAGTTCAGTAAGTCTTACCCCATTTCCAGTGTTTCCCTCTGCTTCCTGTGCCTCCTTAAAGATGTGAGCCCTCAGCTTTCTGCTCTAGCCACTTCCTTCCACCATGCATCCCCACCATGATTGCTCTGGAACCGTAAGCCGAATAAACACTTCCTTCTATAAGTTGCCTTGGTCATAGTGTTTATCACACCAACAGAAAAGTAACTAATATAGTATATATACATTTATATTTCATGTTTATATATTTAAACATATATTTATTTTATAACAATTCTATGGCACTGATTTGTCTCTGTGTATGTGTGTGTGCCTGACAGCATGGGAATGAGAGGCAACTTGTGGGAGCTGGTTCTCCTCTTCTACCACGGGGGTCCCAGGGATGGAATTCAGGACCTCAGTCTTCATGGTAAGTGCCTTTACATGCTGAGCCACCTGGCTGGCTTATGTTTATATATTTAAATATGTTTATGTTTATATATTTAAACATTTCTGGTATTATGCTCTTTAGATTGTTAAACCACTTCCTAGTTTTCCTTTTTAATAAACTCTTTTGAAGAATAACATATATACAATTAAAAGAATATACACTTTAAGAATATTTCAGTTCCTAATGCCTCCATGATAGCTCAAAACTGCCTGTAACTCCAGTTCCAGGGGACTCAAAAGCTTCTTCTGGCATCTGAGGGCCCTAGGAATATACATGGTACACATATATAAATGCAGGCAAATGCTCATACACATAAAATAATATCATTTTTTAAAAGTTTAAGCCAGGTGTGGTGGTGCATGTCTTTAATTCCAGCACTTGGCAGGCAGATTTCTGTGAATTTGAGGTCAACCTGGTCTATACAGCAAGTTCCAAGCCAGTCAAAAACAACAGAGTTAAGGACTGTTGTTAGCCACCATGAAGGTGCTGGGAACCGAACCTGGGTCCTCTGCAAGAGCAGCCAGTGTTTTAACTGCTTAGCCATCTCTCCAGTCCCCTTGCCTCAGCCTCCTGAGCACTAGCATTACAGGCACATGATACCATGCTTGGCTCTAAATCTAATTGTTATTCAGTCTGATTTGAAATTTATCAATAATGTATTTATTAGTAATGCTTTCCTTTTATCTGCTGAGAAGTGTTCAATACAGACGGACATGTGTTATTTCCAGTTTGGAGCTTTTATGAATAAAGCTCCCATAAATAGCAATGTCAAGTCCTTGGGCATCTATTTTCATTTCTCTTGAGGGATGGTGGAAAGTAGAATTCTTGGGTCATTGATAACTACACATATTTCTTTGTAAGAAGTTATCAAACTGCTTTCCTCTTAGAATTTTAAAGTAACATTATCCCTATAAATTTGATAATCAATTCATCCTTAACATATATTTTGTTTTATTCAATCAATGACTTTACAGAGTCAATGATTTAGATGGATGAAATGTAAAAAGAAATAAATTTGTAGAGCTGGAGATGGTTCAGTGGGTTAAAAGTACTTGTTATATAAGCCTGACAACTTGAGTTTGATCCCTAGAACCCACTATGGAGAGAGAACTGAGTCCTGAAAGTTCTCCTCTGACCTCCAAACCTGTGCTGTGGCACATATGCACCTGCAAGGAATTTTGCATACACATAGTAATAATAAAAATTAAGCTATGTGTCAAATGTTTAAATAATGTGTTTGACTACCTCCTCTTTTCAAGTTAACCAGATTATTCAAGTAGACTGCAGCAAAGAGGAATTAAGCTGAAGACTTCTGCTCAGGTCATAATGGAATAGGAGGGGCTGTTTACTGTCTTGTCTTAAATAATTAGAAAATATTGGGCTGGAGAGATGGGTTAGCACTTGCTGCTCTTGCAGAGGACTGGGGTCGGTCCCCAGAACTCACATGGTGGCTAAGAACCATTTATAACTCCAGTTCACTTGGAAGGCAGAGGCAGACAGAACTCTGTGAGATTGAAACCAGCCTGATCTACACAGCGAGTTCCAGGACAATTGGGGCTACAGGGACACCCTGTCTCAACAAAAACAAAACAAAACAATTTTTTAAAACCTGTGCAGCCAATGACTCTCAATGCATCCATAAATTATGGAAACTAAGAAAGGTTTAAAAAGTAGAACCAGTTCACAGATTTCCTTTAGAGAGAAATTCCTCACATTACCACTTTCACCTATAGAGGAGGAAGTTTCCACAATCAATGCCATGCTGAAAGAGGAAATTCTACCTCTTTCTGTATAGCTCTCATAGATGGTATCACAGCTTAAAAAAAAAAAAAAAAGTGGCATTACCAGTAAGTTGGATTCAAGAGTAAGACAGGCTAACTTGAACCTGTTAGTACTCAGACTGTACCATTGAATTACTATCTCATTTACTTTCAGTAATACTGAAGGGTTCATTTACCTTAGTTCTTCCATATCTATTTTTCAACTGGTTGAAGAAGAATGAGTGATTAAATACTCCCATATTCCAGCATCTTTTAAAAGACACCATTGGTAGTAATGACAATATTATAGAACTCACATAAATCACTTCTCTTCAAAAAAAGTTCCCTCCAAATTTAAAAAGATAGAGGCTGGTCAGGCATGGCAGTACACACCTTTAATCCCAGTACTCAGGAGGCAGAAGTAGGTGAATCTCTGTGAGTTTGAGGCCAGCTTAGTCTACATTACAAGTGCCAGGTCAGCCAGGGCTACATAGTTTGATCCTGTCTTTAAAAAGAAAAAAGGTTTGGGGGAGGGCTGAAGAGATGGCTCAGCAGTTAAGAACACTGGCTCCTCTTGCAGAGAACGTGGGTTTGATTACCAGCACCCACATCGCGGCTAACCATCCTGAACTCCAGTTCCTAGGGATCCAACGCCCTCTTCTGAACTTCATGGGCATTTCACAACATGGGTGCACTTAGATACATGCAGACAATACACTCACACACATAAAAATAATAAACAATATAAAAAAATAAATAGAGGCTGGAGGGATGGCTCAATAGTTAAGAACACTTGCTGCTATCACAAAGGACTCTGTTCAGTTCCCAGCACACACATGGTGTCTCACAACCATCTGTACTCCAGTTTCAGGAGATCCAATACCCTTTATGGGCACTATGCAGGCAAAACACACTTAGACATAAAATTTTTTAAATCTTAAGATTAAAAAATCTGTTAATTATAGCACCTCAGAGTTGAGTAGAACAGACAGAGATCAGAGAGATCAAATTTAATCTCTAGATAACCAAACACACAGAAATAGAGAAAAAGCTCCAGTATTTATTGTAATTAATTACTATATTAATTTTAGATTATTCAATAGAATGAAAAAGAGAAAAGTCCCTTTTCAGTGGCTTACATAAATCTGACAGACTGAGATCATATAAAGTTTTGTATACTGGAGTACTTCAAGCCAATTTCAAGCTATATTATTTTAAAAAGTGTTTATACAGGTTGCAACAGAAGTCTTAGGTGCCTAGAAAGACAGCTCAGTGGTTAAGAGCACTGGCTGCTCTTCCAGAGGACCTGGGTAATTCCCAGTACCCACATGGTGACTAACACCCATCCTTAACTCCAGGTCCAGAGAATCATATGCCCTCTTTTGGCCTCTGTAGACAACAGACACGCATGTGGTGCACTTACATACATGCCGGCAAAACATTCATACACATAAAAGTAAATATTTTTTAAGTTTAAAGTATCACTGAATATTGAAGTCAATAAAGACTTGGAATAAAAGATATATGCTAATCAGGGCTAGAGAGATGGCTCAGCAGATAAGAACACTGTCCTTACAGAAGACCCGGGTTCAAATCCCAGCACCCACATGGCAGTTAACAATTGTCTGTAACTCCAGTTCCAGGGGATCTGACAGCCTCTTCTGTCCTCTGCAGGCATTGCACGACACAGGTGCACTTACCTACATGCAGGCAATACATGCATACACGTAAAATAATTTTTAAAAATTTGAAAATTTAAAAAAGATATATTCTAATCATATAAAGACTAGAAACCCAGGTGAGGGCGATAACCAAGGACATAAAGGAATAATGCAAGATACAAAAGAGTAAGGTATGCGGGCATGGTGGCGCACACCTTTAATCCAGCACTGGGGAAGCAGAGGCAGGCAGACTGCTGTGAGATGAGGCCAGCCTGGTCTACATAGGGAGTTCCAGGCCAGCTAAGGCTACAGGGAGACCCTGTCTCAAAAAGACCAAAGACAAAATCAAAAAAAGGGTAAGATGTAAAGAAAAGCTTTTCCAAGACACTGTCAAATGCTCCCTCTGAAAAGAAATAATATTCTTGGTAAAAAGTGTGATCTATTTCTGATGAATTTTAAATATTTTATCTATTATTTAAAAAAAATTTTGTGTGTGTGTGTGTATTGCCTGCATGTAGGTAAGTGCACCTGTGTCATGCAATACCCATGGAAGACAGAAGAGGCTGTCGGATCCACTAGAACTGGAGTTACAGACAGTTGTTAGCCGCCATGTGGGTACTGGGATTCAAACCCAGGTCTTCTGCAAGAACAAACAGTGTTCTTAACCGCTGAGCCATCTCTCTACCCCCTCTGATGAATCTCTGATGAATTTTAAAAGCTTAGGATGGAAACTTAAGTTACCAACCTATTAAGCTGACAGTTAGGAGTTAAAGATTTTCATGAAATCTTCTTATCTAATCACTCTTGCCTTCCTATAAATGATTCTACCTAAAA